TGTAGCTGTCTCGGTCGAGGTGGGGGTCTTGGCGGCAATGCCGGGGGCAATGGAGATTCGTCATCTCCATCGTCCAACTTATGGGAACTCTGAATCACAGATTCTGGCGAGATAATATCTTGACTACCCGCTGTGATAACAGAGGCGGTGATTTCAAGCGGGGATGCAGGGGGAGGGGGTTGCTCCGAGGGTGTTGCAGGGGCTGACATGCTCTCTTCAGTATCAGCAGGGTGTGTCGACAGATGTCTCCCGTCGCGGAGACATAGTCATGCAAACTACGTCCACCTGTTGAACAAGAAAGAAAAAATGTTTTAGGCAAATGACTGGTCTACTTATTTAAATTCTGTGGTAAGTAGCGTGCTTTAACCAACGCCATCTGCCACTTGCACCAATTGTGGAAATTAAAACGCAAACTGGAAGTAGCAACTGTCGTACTGGCTTCGTCGATCTTTTACTGAAATAAAATTTCGTAAGTGGCACATAAGCGAAATACATGTTTTTTTTAAGAAGCAATCTACGCGAACACGTCCTGAAAAAGTGCAAGATTATTCTTCGTGTATTTTATTTCTGTAAAGTAGTTAATATATTATAGCTATAATACTAATACTCACTTTAACACTAATTTAGAAAAGGTTTTAATAGAAAAATTACTGGTATGAGATCAAGTCCCTGTACCCTTGTCATTTACAAACTGTCAACCATTAACGAAAATTGGTCTAGTTTGTCAAATGCACAATACTTAGATTTTATTTATTTATTTAGTGTTCTGTCTGACGACAGGTCCATATGAACAGGTTCCTTCCATCCTTTTCTCGGACTGGGACCTGTTCATATACGTTCTTGGCAGATGATCCAGAAGTGGTTTGCCATTGCCTTCTTCTGTGTGTGAATGGAGTAAGTGTTGGGATGCCACGGAGGAAAACTCCGGGTTACCTAGACCACGGCCTTGCCCAACACAAGTTAAAGTTACAGAGCGTTCGCGTACAGTTTGGAACATGAACACTAAATTTTTATGTAGTTCGAAGACGTGGAATAATGAGACCAAATACAAAATGACTTACTTATTTATAAAGCGACGGGAAGAAGGAATTTGAAGGAATCGGACTTGGATGTTAAGACAGTTATTAAATATGAGTAGAATAGTTGTAATGCGTGATTTAGGGAGACGTCTGATAATATTAATATTAATGTAAACGGTAGTTTTGTATAACAAATAAAAAACATAGAATATGCCTATGTTTGACCCAAAACAAGCTGTCCATTGGACCCCAAGTAAAAAATATGTACGAGGTCGATAAAAACCACAGCGCTTAGATACCGACATTATTTTCAGTCAAAATTGAGGACTACTGGATTATGGGTAATCGAAAAATATTCCACGTAACATGAATATCGATTAATAATTTCTTCATAATACTAGCTTCCTATTAAAACATTTTAAAAGTCAACACCAATCCACAATTTTCCATCACTTCAAAAGCGTTAACAGCTTGCACACAAAATAAACTTGCCATCTTTTATAACCCAACTTCTACAGGAACCACATTCCATAATTACTCAGAATTTGCTAGTGTGCACGAGTTACCCTTCGGGCTGAACATTCGAAGCGGTCTCCAACTGTGACGGAAGGAAAATATTTTAATGTGTATAGAATAAACACAAAGAACCAGATTCAAACAGTACGCAACGCCATTTCTCTTCCCTTTTGGCGTTTGAAAATTAAATAGTGTATTGACACAGCCCCAGTGGTGTCCCGTTTCAACACACGCAAATGTTCCATACGCAATTTGAAGCTACAAGAGCATTTATAATGTTTTACTGTGTCAAATTTTGCACGGCAGATCCACAAAATATTGAAATCAAATATTAATGAAGACGTACGGGAAGCCTAATGATTTGTAATCTTAGCCATCCTCTCATAAAGCCACCGAAGAATTTGTCCATTCACATATCCATAAATGATATGTCCCACTTTCCTCATTTTGTAAACATAAATATGTTTAAGTAGTTATCTTGTGCACATATACGAGATGAATACAAAGGCATTTAAAGAATTCAATGCAACAGGATCCAGAACCTCGTTCATCTGCTCAGGGACGTATACGCCTTCGATGGAACCAAAAGTTATAGTTAGAAAGAGCCTGCCAAAATTCCATGGTCCTGTGTAATATTTCTTAAAATTATATTTTTTACGATCAAAGTTTCTTAGCCGCCACCCACAAACCCCAATGTCGAGGATCGCCCCTTCTCAGCCGTCAGCTACTGTCCTGCTGTCCACCATACGATGTCAACATGGGACACAATGAATATTGTGTTATTTTATTTAGTGTTCTGTCTGACGACAGGTCCATATGAACAGGATCCTTCCATCCTTTTCTCGGACTGGGACCTGTTCATATACGTTCTTGGCAGATGATCCAGAAGTGGTTTGACATTGCCTTCTTCTGTGTGTGAATGGAGAAACCGGGGAAGCCCCCGGAGGAAAACCCCGTGTTGCCTAGACCACGGCCTTGACCAACACAATTTATAAATTCGGGCACCGCCGGGAATCGAACCCGAGACACCAGGATTACAAGGCCAGCGTTCTAACCGCTAGACCACCATGGCTAAAAATCCTGAAAATAACAAATTAAAAATGGCAGCTTGAAAGTATATGGCAAAATAGAAAATAAAAAACTTGTTTAGAGATAAATAAGATAAATTAAAGCATATACCATATTACAAGTTACAGTTTACAATTCTAAATCACAGTGCTAGGTCGTGTACAGTACATGCGTTTCTATAAATGCACACGACAAGCCATGTCAACCTCAATGGCAGCTGAAGGCCAGTGGACTTGTTTGTCTCTCTTATTGAACTCTGAACTTTAAAGCCGCCAACAAAGGTATGCATCAAACACAATCGAACAAGGTGCTGGCAGCCGGGTCGATTCTGCGTGATCGAACTATCGACAGCAATCTGACCTCTCGCGTTGTTACTTGGGAAATGTAATCACTAAAATGTAATCCCAAACCGTGTCCAAGGTATTCAGCATTGTGAGCCCGCCCACACACACACAAAAAAAATACACGCACGCACAATACACGGACCGTGTGGATATGTGCCTTCTCGAACCTCAGCTGCATAATTAAGGATAACTGTGGCGATTTATTGAAGGCTGGGAATATTAAATTCATTTTTACGATGAAGTGGTCGTTTGTATTGGAAGATGTTTTGAGTCACTCAGTTCTCCGCAAAACATATTTTGGAAAACAGAAGTTCAACTGTCTTGTGTCAAAATTATTAAGAATGCACTGATATATCCCAGAAACCCAACCTGAAGACGAACATTGCATGTAAATTATTAAATGAGCATAAATACATAACAATAATTTACTCAAAAACAGGCCTAATGTATTTTATTGGGTTAAATTAAATGTGTATTTGAAGTGGCAAATCGTCGAAGCGATAAATAATAATAATAATAATAATAATAATAATGCTAATAATAATGCTTTAAGTCGTATTATAAATCTTTGTGGGGCTTCCTTAGACTTTGACTCTTATATTATTTAGTGTTCTGTCTGAGGACAGGTCCATATGAACAGGATCCTTCCATCCTTTTCTCGGACTGGGACCTGTTCATATACGTTCTTGGCAGATGATCCAGAAGTGGTTTGCCATTGCCTTCTTCTGTGTGTGAATGAAGTAATTGTTGGGATGCCCCGGGGGAGCCCCAGGAGGAAAAGTCCACGGCCTTGCCCAACACAAGTTATAAATTCGGGCAACCCCAGGATTACAAGGCCAGCGTTCTAACCGCTAGACTCTTAGGTGAAGATAAAACAGATGGTAAGATGGAAAATAATCAGTAACTTCGCCATCGTGATAACGAGCCACCCATGTACTTTCTTGGGGACTGAGGAAAACTTCTATTAGGCTACACGGAGTAAGAACACGAAAGACAACCATGTTCGTACAGTTCTCTGGCTCTCCTCTTGAGCTTTGTTACTCCCCTTAATTTCTTCGTCAGAACTAAAGTAGGCTTGAATTAAACAAAGCAAACAAGGCTCCCAACGCCAAACCTCTTGCAGTCTACCGCTACTCCAGAACTCGTAGGGGAAGTTGCTGTGAATCTTCAGATCACGTGGTAGAGTAGACGACGTTCTCGTTCAAATTCACGTCATGATAAGAGCTGTCACACTCAGCGGTTTCAATTGTTACGTATCTACGTGAGAGTCCGCCAGTGGAACACAATGCCTAACGCTCTAAACAAGAAGACCGAAATCAATGTATCGTCGAAGCACGGTTGCCAACTGCACCGTAAGATAAGGAAAGGTTTACGTATTGTAACATCAGCGTCAATTTGGCTGAAAATAAATTAAATTTTAAAACTACCAGTCAGTGTAGTGACTAGACTGTGGGATCGACGTCACGGGTTCGATCTCCTACAGGGACAGAGATTCTCCCTAGCGCCACTGGGTCCAGAATCGCTCTTGGCTCACCCAGCCACTATATCCTCTTATCCAGTGGTTACCAGCGATCTCTCACCGGGTGTAAAGTGGTCGGGGCGTGAAGCTAACTACTCACAGCCATCTAGTGACGAGGTTAAGAACTCCGCTCCCCTATAAACCTTCACGGCTTGGTTCTTAAAAAGAAAGGATAACTTCGCCTTCACATTTGTCGTAAATCCTTTAGAGCTCAAGAGAATGTTTCCTAGTCATACGTTCGCGTTCGTTTTGTGTTTATGACCATTTCACTTCACAAATCAAATTGCAGTAATGCCATTAACACGATGACGATGCGAAGGGAGCAGAACATCTGGAAAATCCAAGTGTTAAGAGGACGATGCTGAACTAATCAAAGAAAATCAGGAATAGGGTACGAGTATGTGGACTGGATTAATCTGTCTCTGGACAGAGTTTAATGACGGAATATTGTGAACCCGACAATGGTCATTTGGGTTGCATAAATCGCGGGGAATTCGATTCAGCGAATTATTATTATTATTATTATTATTATTATTATTATTCACGGAGAAACCGGGGAAGCCCCCGGAGGAAAACTCCGTGTTGCCTAGACCACGGCCTTGCCCAACACAAGTTATAAATTCGGGCACCGCCGGGAATCGAACCCGAGACCCCAGGATTACAAGGCCAGCATCATATTGTCAAGAAGGGGTCTGCTTCATTTAGTTGGTTAGGCTGAACATCTTAAGAACCTCCGACTTTGGGAACCGCGCAGGAATCTTGATATTATACTGCAGGTATAAAGTGCCGTAAATTCCAGTTTGAAAGGAGAAAAACTTACTGTTTCATAAAGCAACAGGGGGCAACACCGAACAGAAAACCGACGCTGGCCTTGTAACCGCCAAAATAAATTACGTACGCTTATAAATATGGATGGTCCATCACTGTGCACCTCGAACATGGACTTGCAAGCCATCTTTTGGTATCACAGGCTTTTTGTTTTAAAGACAGAATGTTAAAAGATATCAGGAGTTAATTAATCTGAAGTAGAATTATATAAGAATAGTAAGAAGTAAAATCCCCCATCTAACTGCTGATTAACTGTTGGACATTTAAAGGAACGAATCGTTATCCAAATCGTCTAGGGAGCTCCGCCGACTTCGACTGGGGTAAGAAGGGTGTGGTGGTGAGTTACGAAGGGCGTGGCAACCAGGGACTCTAAAAGTTCCCTTATCAGCGGAGTTTACATTGCACATTTCATCTGCTTGCCTTCAAGACACGAAGTTCTGGAAAGAGATTATGTAGCCTACTTTCACTGAAATACCTCTCAGTCCATATGGTATGATTAACAAGACTTTTGTATTAAAAAAACTATATATTAATAATTACTCTAATATTTATAAATTAATTTCTGTGCTTAATATTCATTAGCTTAGTATAAATTTTCCGTAATGTCGAGGTCACCGTCTCTATGTAATTTTAAATTATGGTCGACCCTGAAGTAGGGAGGTAACATGTTCCTCGGGTTATCTCCGTACAAAATTACAATTCGATAACTCCAGTAGTTTATTTGTTATCTTCGTCTAACAGTCAGAATTTCAAGCGGTTATCACATTTTCACGAACAGAAAAATTTACGACTCGTTATAAAACTTATTGAACAAGTTAAATTGTATCTTTCTTATCAGTGGTCGACTCAACTTTTCTGACTTGTTTACCCACGGGACATAGCTCAGGTTGATTGATAGTTCTTTGGGACCACAGTCTTTAGCCAATTTGCGGCCACATTACATTCCTAAAGGACAAAGCAAATATGACGCAGGTTTCTCAGAGTATTTTATTTCTACATCCACTTAAGTAAAACTGATAATTTTAAATGTAAAGAACATGATGACAATGACAAGGACGATGAAGACCTCCCACACAAAAATGAAACCAAATTTAAGAACGGATTCATTTTTCGTTAATCTGTTTTCAAAATCTATCCTGTGCTGCTCTCTACAGTGCTAGGTCACAATGATGCTCATTTGTCAACACATTTTCAACGCGTTGCATGTAAAGTGATTGATATTTTCTGAAGGTCTAATTACTTAGGTGCTAATACTTGGGATAGCCGCGGTGGTCTAGCGGTTAGAACGCTGGCCTTGTAATCCTGGGTCTCGGGTTCGATTCCCGACGGTGCCCGAATTTATAACTTGTGTTGGGCAAGGCCGTGGTCTAGGCAACACGGAGTTTTCCTCCGGGGGCTTCTTCCCCGGTTTCTCCGTGGCATCCCAACAATTACTCCATTCACACACAGAAGAAGGCAATGGCAAACCACTTCTGGATCATCTGCCAAGAACGTATATGAACAGGTCCCAGTCCGAGAAAAGGATGGAAGGTTCCTGTTCATATGGACCTGTCGTCAGACAGAACACTAAATAAATATAAATAATACTTGGGATACTAATTTCTAAAAGATTTTAAACATCACATAACACTTTGACAATACGCCAACCTTTCTAACGACAATAACAAATTAATGTACAGACAAAGAAATTACTTCTTCTCGCGTGTTTCTTTCAGTAAAATTAAGTTCTTCGGGCACCTCAAGGAAATGCACTTCTCTCCTGATATTATTCGTAACATAACATAACAGTGCAATCGACAATTTCTTCAGCTAAAATTAGACAACAGAAATATTTACTTCTGATGAAAGACATTTTTCGTTTAGTTTGAAATTAAAGACATAATCGGACACTAAAACGAATCATTTCTGCCTTTCTGTATGTACCAACCCAAGACCAAGAAACGTCATACTCCGTCTGCATAAGTTAATTAATAATTTCAAATAATATTTTTATTATAAGCAAATGTACATACAATGTAACAATAAAATAAATTTTAAGAAACATAACAAGGAAACTTTGGAAAGAAGACGAATATTTTAAATTGCTTTTGTTGAAGTGTTTCTTTGAAGTATAGCATAAACACTGCAGAACAGCTATTTCAAGGCGGAATAACGTATGAGCGCCTTCAAATATTAATGACTGTTCCATTAAAAATAAACTGCCTGAACGTCTCCTACTGATTCTTGAACCAGAGGTTTATTTTTTAAAAAGATTTTTCGACGGATGGATTCCTCTGCCCCCATGTAAATTTCGAACAGCTTTCACGACGCTACAAATCAAATACTCACTCACCTAAATTAAATTTACCGCCGTTGTCATAAAAATTTGCCATCTCCATATTGATTATCATTATGTTTAGTATCACGTGTTTGTTCACTGGTTAACCAGTTAGTTACGAAGTTTGTACAGTCGACCTAACAAAGTCCATTGTCCTGTGGTGCATTCCATCAGCCCAAGGCTGTTCAAGAAGTTTCTTATTAAATTTTTATTTATTTTTTATTTTAATGATTCTTCATATTCTCGCCTTTCTTTACGAAAATGAATTATGGATGCAATTTCTGGTTATGTCATGGGGAATGTACCTGAATGATTAGTGTCATTTTCCCACGAGAAGTTACGATATTGGTGGTTTACATTACAGGCAACTTCGGGTTCTTCCTGTGGACTGCAGAAGTGGTTTCTCACCATCAATTCTTCTGAAAGAATAAAGAGAAATTCACATGCTTGATATATGAAGGCACCGGGAGTTTCTGAAACTATTATTCAGAACTTGTAGAGCTCCTAACAGGCCAGAGTAGTGAGGGCGTGGTTCATGATTTATGAAGAAAGACAATGTACCATTTATTTCCGCAATTTTAATGGCCTACTTTCTGAATGGGTGTCAACACTGGCAATCGAAGGATAACATTCGCGTAGGATTACCATTCCACAACGCTATTTCAGAAGCTACAGTTAGGTAGCATTAGCATACAGTCTACTCTTTCACATTCTCTCTCTGCAAGATTCATCTTAAAATAATTCCATTCCTTTTAAGTCTGTTTCTACGAGGTTTTAGACCAAAATTTTGGAATGAATCTCTCATTTTGCAAATAATAAAAGATAATTTCTGCATCGTTACTGAACACTTAAATTGTCCGAATCTCGATTGGCAGGTCGATATGTAAGTAACTTAAAATCTATATATATCAAATATATTGTAATGGCGGCATTTCCCTCTTCACAGACATCAATTGGTCACAAAAGTATACTTAACGCTAGCTTTAAATATTTTATATATTTTTTACTTATTTAATTTTTGAATTTGTAAGAGTTATAGATATCATAGTGATTTTGACTGACTGGTTCATTTTAATAACGAATAATTCCCATGCTCCAAATGCGTTTTCGATTAGGGCAGTATGCTGGACAGAATTTTTCGAAATTTCCCATGAAATTTGTTCCCTCACAAAGAACATAAGACAGACCGAGTTTGGAACTGTAAATCTGTGTAAGCTTGCCGGTAAAGAGAACATCTTCGTGTTCTGTTTGCTTTGGCAACTGATAGGAAGACCATATAGCACATTCGTTGATCGTAGTTAAAATTGTATCAACGTTTCTGACAGACATTCTAACTGCATCTTCAGGTCTGAAGTGTTAATGCGAGGAGACTCCCTATTGGCTAGAATCTTTCACCCTCATTCCTCGTATCTGATTGGTCCAGTCCGTCAGCCTTCCTTACCTTGCTCTAACCCACAAATTCCTCCACTTCAGCTATCTATATGAAGACCATATGTTTCTAAGAAACGTCTTCTTACGAGATTATACGGCATCAACATCCAGAAAATCATCATTATCATCCTATCCGCAGTGAAAACCTCGAATCTTTCGGTACATATTTAGGAACGTCATTTCCCTGGCTTCGCCGACTTAAGATGTTGCATCTCATGGGACAGGAAGATTTCCAAATCCAATTAAGAACGCGGTAGCAAATTATTTCTGGCTCGTCAAGTATGAACATTTCATCTCAGAGAATCCCAAATATGAGCACCTTTAAAGTACGTTCAGTGTTCTCAAAGCTGGCAGCTTACGTGCTAGCAACGCCTCCACAGCATACAATCTGTGGTATTCGTGTGCATGCTTAACAAAGACGCAAAGACCATGCGAAGAAATTCCTCAATGGTTATTATCCTAGCCAAGGGAGCATTAGACAGACCCAAGTCACGAACCATTTCTTCAGATCTTAACGTACTAAAATAATGAATTAGACGAAGTGCCTCAGACATCTCTTCGGGCTGTTTAATCCTTGAAAGTGTAAGGACACCTCTGCTATTATTAAACCAAGACGCAATTTAACTTATTCCAATTTCAGATAAAATATGACAGGGCACGACCCCTGATCATGGAGGCCGAAAGCAGCTCTGAAGCATCAGTAAACGTCCACCTGACTACACCAAAAGATCGAAAAACACAGTCATCTTCATACTCGCTGTATTAAGAACCATAAATCTCATGCAGTCTATTGGCGATTTGACAAGAACATCTACAAGTATATTTTGGTTTATGCGTGGAAAATTTATATTTTCCACATATAATGGATGAGCAAACACATGTTAGCAACAGAAATATTAAGAGGATGTAACTTACAAATTAAACAACACATGGATGGGTGGACAATTCTCAAGTTGCCTTGCGTGATAGGTTCCCCCGCGCTCCTGATCACCAAAGTGGACCTAATATTTGGGGAACAGTTCAAATTATTTAGCTTGTCATTTGCCTACATGAAATAATCCCATTCTAGCTGTTACATCTCCCTTAGGCGGGTCGGACATGGCTGAAACCAGTGAAAGCAGCTGGCAATATGCAAAACGTTCAATTTACTGTCCTTCGGCATTGTAATAGACCAAGGCATCGGCCAAGCACGTGACAGTTCAGTCGGTTTAACAGAGCCGTGACTTGGGGGCTGAACTGACTGTTGGCCGGAAACGAAGTGTGTGATTTTCATTTTCATTTTCTGACTGAAGTCAGTAAGCACGCTAAGTACCATCGTCGATAAAAGTGGCACTCCGTTTGCTACGGTTCACTGGCAGGAGATCAATCAAGGCCCGTGACAAGATGAAAAGATCGCAGCTTCAGAGCAGTCTGGAGCAGAACCTCGCACAAGCCGAGAGCAGTCCA